TTATTCATTTGCTCCCTTGGTCTGAATACAGCCTGCTAGCTGAATGATTTTCTCGTTAATTTGGAGTAAATTAAGCTGGGTTGGGTTTTTTGTTCTGGTTTTTTTTGTATTCATTGAGCTTTGACCAAGAGACTGACTACATCAGACTTGTGTTGTGTTCCTACAGCATTCTCATCAGCAAGGTATCACAGTATTATGAGACTGACACATGAAAAGGGATCACGTACAATTACTGTCCACTTGAAAATAAAGTTTTTCAAAAAAAATTGGTTTTACTGGCACTCTTTCAAATGGTTTTGAAAGGAGCACTTCCCTACTGTCAGGCAGTGTGGTGAGGCTTAAGGTGCAAAGTGTTCAAACAGCAGGTCTGACATAATGGATACATTTTTTGTGTAGTATAGCTGTGACATTTAGGTGCTTCAAAGAGGAAGTGGTACAAAATTGCACCTGATATCTGTCACAAACATCATCTTGAAAGAACAAGACTTGCAGCACTTTCTGAAAGTCTCGATATGCAAGCGATGCTGGATTCTCTTTGTTAGCAGAAGGGAGCTTATCCTTGGCTGGGTGTATCTCCTTTTGCTCTCTCTTGGACCTCTTGGGGTTAATAGTGGAAGTGCCTCAACTGAGGCTGAAAACTTGCTGAAATCCAAAATCAGAAGGACCGTAGTGCCAAATCATTGCTTTAAAATGTGAAATTACAGGCAGAAGGCCCTGTGTTCCAGGCAAGACAGGGTTAATTTCTGCAGTAGCCAGGAGGGGCATGGACCAGGACCTATAGGATATTCTATATTACCTGATGCTGTGCACAGGGGCAGGAGGAAGGGATCTCTTCCAGTCATGTAGTGGGAAGCAAGCGGTAAAGGGTGTCTGCATGGTGAGCACACGTGAATCCTTCAGTTGCTTTTACTGTTCATTTATTATCTCATTGCTGCTTCTGGTAAATTGTTCCTATCTCAATCCGTGATCCTAGCCTTTTGTACCTCCAGTTCTCTCTAACCTTCTGCAGAGATGAGGGGAAGAGAGGGGGCAGGGGAGTGAATGGACGGTGCATGATTTGTAATGTTTCAGTGCCAGCAGTAAACTGGGGAATACCTTCCTAAACCATGACACTATGGGTTAAAAAACTGGACCTGAGCCTACTTCTAGCTTTGTTTTGCCAAGCAGTTGGGCTGATCCTATGACTGATTTCTATGGTACTGCATTCAGAAGTACCTGAATCCAGGAACCAGCCCACCAGTGAGGACATCATTTGGCTTGTTGCTGAAGAAATCCTTACCAGAAAAAAATCTAGTCACTTCATTAACTACAGAATTAACTTTGATTTTTTTCACATTCTGTAAAGCAAGCACCTCAACTTTTTGGGAACAGTGACTAATGTTTGAAACAGCACTAGAAGGCTTAAAGTGGTGTTGAATCCCAATTGATTAGAGGCTGTATTACTCATGTGCCATTATCATGGTTTGACCCGGAAGTGAGGTTTTGGGAAGTTATGGTCAAACCAATCAGTGGCCAAATTTCAGATTGGCACCTGATGTGGCCACTAGGGACTTGGACATGCCTCTGAGAACACACAGGGGTTAAAAGCAGAGCACTCCCAGAGAGACTCTCTCTTTGGAGTCTGGCAGGTGAGCAGATTGGATCCTCTCTCCTGCCCGGCTGCGTCTGGGTGGGGGAGGGGGAGGCCTGCGGCCTGAGAGAGAAGCCGGAGCCGCTGCAAGATGCAAAAGTAGAGAAGTTCCTGGGATGGTTTGAGCAGCCCCCCCAGAGAGAAGAATAAAACAGTTGGGAGGAGAAGGGGTGGGCAAGGTGTCCAGCCGCTGCCAGGACAGGCTGTGCTTTTAACCCTTTTAGTGTTGAAACAATAGAAACTGTAAAACACTAATCCTCCTCAGCTAGAAATTAAGAAAGGATGGAGGAGGGGAAAGATGAAGAAGGTTTGAGTAAGTGAAGGAATGCCAGCAGATAGAGCACCCGAGATGGAGGAGATGATTGGAGTAGCTTTAGCCGGACTTTTCCCTGACATAGCCATGGGTGAAGCCAGGTTCTTCCGTTAATGCAGAGACTGCACCTTGGGAGAGGCGGTTGGCCAAAAGCCAAGAATGATAAGGCCACAAAGAAAAGCCGAAGGAACAGAGACTGAAGGGGGAGGGTGTGTTAGAACTTTCGGCCTACAGCGAAGAATCTCCATTCCTGAGCCCCAAGCCCCAAGAGAGTGAATATGGGGGAGACAAGTGTCCCAAAGGGTGAGAGACAGCCATCTAGGCACTGGCACTGTGCCAGAGTCAATCCATAACAGCCATAAAATATAATCAAATATAAGACAGAAGTAGCATTTACAGAATAAAGTGTTTGATTTCTTCCAATACTACCTTAAAGACTACACATACCTAAGTGATAAAGAAGAGCATCCTCCTTGTGCATGTGGAGATTGCAGGAGTGCTTGGAGGTTATGTTAAGGTATCATTCCCTGACATGGAAAATCACTGCATGTGGAACCTATGTGTTTCTTGTGCTGCTAAGGAGTTACAGACAGATTGGATAAAGGCACAGTGAAATTTTATATGGTAAGTCAGAGTAGTTGACAAAATTGGATTTTTATGCTTGAAAACCATAGATCTGATCCCATGCTATTGACTTAGTTATTTCAGACCAAGAAGCTAGTAAAGAAAATAAGATGGTTGAACCTGGAAAATATTAATAAAACTGCCTTCCTTTAGTTCATTGGGCCAGTACCAGAATTTGAAAACATTTTGATTTCTGAAACCCACTATTTCAGTGCCAGCAAGCACCCCTGAAACAGCCTACTCTTTTCTAGCAACAGGTAATGCACACACCACTACAGTGAGTGATTAATGCTTTTTGAGATATGAAAGCTATAATCCTAAGCTTTCAGGCAGTAGAAAGCTTTAATTTCCAGCCCTTCTGGGTCTTGAGCTATATGACCTTAAAAATATCAAGCTTGCACTCATCTTTTAACCTGCAAGAGCTGTTTTGCTTTTAGCCCAAGTCTGAAAATAACGTCACACACACCTAAGATCATTGCAATGTCCAGCTCCCGAAAACACATAGAAACTGACTAGATTAGTAGACTAATGTAGGAAAAATGTTTCTGAACTGTCGGGGCCAAAGCTTTTATCTAGGCTAATGGGTATATAAATAGCAACACCACCCTTCCTCTTCCCTCCCTACCCCCCTCCCCCACCTCCCCATACAATGAAAAAATTAGTTCAGTGTAAATAGCACTTTTTACGTAGCAAGGTTGTCTGAATATGTCAGAAGCTGGCTGATACATATTTGTCGCTGATTATCACAGCTACTTACAAAACTGTCACCCTCAGAAGTTTATAATTTAATATCCAGCAGACAGTATTGATTTATCTGCAGCGCTACTTGATTTTATAAATGTTACAGATTAGTCTTTGTGCTTTTCCTACATATTTTTCAGTTGATTTTAATTTTCTGTGTTGAAATTTCACTAAATGAGGATGATAATGAAAACAAGAGCCTGAAGGTCAATGCTAATGCAGCATTAGCAATACAAATACTGTTGCATTCTAGCAGTGTCCGTCACTTGAAGTTTACAGACAACTTATGTGCTAGGAGACCTGCCATCATGGGCTGTGAAACACATGCGGTAATCGGAGCTCTGTGAGAAAAATGCATTTAGGACATGAAACTTCTCTGGGATATAATTTGGCAGTCATTGAGACTGCTGTTTTTAATCTTTTTAAACGACAGAAATGTAACAGAAAAACGTAGGTTGGGGGGGACCCCTAGAGGTCACCTGGGCAAACGTCCCTCTTGGAGAGGGACAAGGATCACTTCGGGACGAACTTCTCCATTATTTTGAGAGGAAGGACAGGGTGAAGGAGCTTGATTGCAAGTGAAGTGCTTTATTTAAGGAAACTCTCCAAGAACTGATAGTTTTGGAAATCTGTCATGCATATTGTATACACCTCAAACTGTGGTAACCCAGGGCTGTTCCAGGGCCATATATGTAGGATATGTAGAACATAGCAAAGAGGAAGGGAACAGATAGTGGCGTCTGCCTAAACACTTCACAGATGTTTAACACAATGTGGTCCCTGAACAGATAAATTAACAATACTGTCAAAATGTACCAATTTAGGTTGCTAATACTACAACTTTTCATCAGTTGTTAGGTTTTTTTAAAGTCCCCTGGCTTTTTAAAATGAAACTGGTTGGATATCGATCTGGCTGAGAAAAAGAAATGGTGTATTTCTTCTGAAAGTTCATTTTGTTTAAATACCATAAAATGCAAGACACTGTATTGAGGACTTTAGGATTTTGTTTACATGTGTGGAATCACTGGGGCAGTTAAGTACAGGAAGCAGGAGCTTGGAGAAGATACGAGATAGTTTACAGCTGGGCTATAGATGCAACCTAAGGTCCAACACTGTGTTTGTGTATGTGAACACGGGTGTAGGTATTTTGGGAAAGAGGCACTGCCAAGCCCTTTCTAGCACAGCAGTAAGCCTCCCTGCAGGCTGCGTGCACAATTTGGTTACCTGTGCTGCAGCTCGGTTTTTGCAGCTTCTCCCCAGGTGAGCAGCACGACCAGGGCCCGCTCGCAGCTGCGATGCGGATGCGGCGCCTTGGCACACGCACCCTCCCTCACACCTCCTTCACGGCGGTGGGAGCCTCCTCCCTCCTGGGCCACCGAGGCTGCGGGGCCCGCGCCCAGGGAAGGTGAGACGGACAGGTCGGTGCCTGTAGGGCCTCCCTCGCTCCGAGCTGCCCAGGCACTGGCAGCCGTTCCGGAGAGCGCCGGGCCCGTGACCGGCGAGAGGCCGGAGCCGCGCTGGGAGCAGCCAAGCCGCGCAGACCCCTCCAAGCCGGCCGGGCCCACGGTGCGGCACCGCCCACGCCCGTGGGGCCCCGCTCCTGCCGGGAGGCAGCGGAAGGCAGGGAGGGAGAGAGCGGGCGGGCGGGCGGGCGCGCTGACGCGTGAGGGCGGTGCGGCAGGAGGGGCCAGCCCGGGCGGTGCTGGCGGCGGCAGGAGGAGGAGGAGGAGGAAGATGGTGGCTGCGGGAGGAGCGGCCGGCTGCTGGGCTTTCCGCCCTGCGCTGCATCGCCGCCCCCGCCGGAGCCGCCCTGCCTGCTGAAGAGGCGGCGCGGACCCGTACCAGGTGCGGAGGAGTCGCGGCCGGGAGCGGGTCCGGCCGCGCCCCCGCCGCGGTGTCGGGGAGGCAGCGGGCCCGCGGGGCGGGTGCCCGGCGCGGGATGCCGGCCCTGTCCCGCTCGGTGGCTCCTGCCCGCAGCGGGTCGCGGGCGCTGCGGCGGCCTGTGTCCGGCTGCGTGGGCGTGCGCGCATCTCCGAGCCAGCGGGGCAGCTCTGCACCTGCCCCGGGCTGCGGGGAGCGGCGCTAGCACGGCCATGACCGCTTCCATCCCGGCCTGCGGCGGGGCGTTGCGTGCTTTCCCTCCGTTTATTTATTCCATTATTTTATTTGGTGGGGATGGGATGTGTGTAGGATAATGTGTGGAGCCGTGCATACCCCAGTGCGCTGGTTTGCTGTTTTTTTTTTAATTTTTACGTGTTTTTTTCCCACGCGCACCTTTTCTGTGGTGGAAAGGAGAAATGGGAGGGGGACTGGGAGGGGGCGGGGGCCATGTGGGGATTTCGCAGCCGGCGGTCGAATGGTCGCCGTCGCAGCAGGACGGACTCGGCACCCCTTCCTCGGGAGATGCTGCCGGGGTCTGCGGCCGCGTCCCGGTTTGCAGCAGGGAACCCAAAGGGGCCTGGATCTCTCCGTCCTCCCCGTGGAGCGTGCTCTCCACCCCTGGGCTGGGGGAAGGTGAAATCTGCTAGCATCACCTTCTGGTTTCAGGAAAAGGCGTCTTGATTTTTTAAATGTAATTTTTTAAAAATTTTTTTATTTTTTTTATTTTTTTTTTTACCCGGAGAAGCAGTTTGATAACAATAAATGCCCGAATCACAGTCGTGGTCGGTGCTGCTGTATGCATTACATCTGCTTTCTGTAAAAATCCGAGTCAATAGGAGCAGTCTACCAAGACTTGTTTTACTGCCATCATAAATCTCTTTAAGAGAGATGGGGCTGTGGGTCTAGGATGGAAAACTACATCTTTTTGCTTTGTCCTGTTGTAAATTTTTGGGCTGTGGAATTGCAGTTTGGTTTAGAGAGTGCATTGCAGATCTGGCTGTTTTCGTACGTAGAAGGCAGAGATCTTTGCCTGACTCTGCATACATTAAGAGTGAGCTAATGTGGGTGTAGGGCAGATCAGCCATGTAGCGTTTTTCTTGTCTTTGACATGCGCCATGTTACACCAGCTGATAAGAATACACCCAGGTGGCTGCAGTTTTGTGTCTGCTCTGCAGCTGTGGCCCATGGGGTCCCAAATAACTTGCCAATATTCCAGTCATAATATTCCAGGTTCTGCTGCATTGCTGTTAAATCTGGACCACCTGCACCTTCCTTTGCAGCCCATGTCAGGAGCAAGCACATGATGTCTATTCTTCCCAAAAGGTGGTGGTGACATAGAATGTGTTCATTCCCTGTGTCCTGCCAGATCAAAAGTGACGTGCGTGTTTGTGTTTGTTTCTAATGCTGTGGGAGAAAGGAGCAGGATAGACTGCCCAGAAGTGCTGTTCAGGAGGGAAGGAGAACAGTTGCTGTTGAATTTTGTGCATTTGTGTGTGTTTGTACAGAAAAAATAAGTGTTGGGTGAATAATAATAATGGGTGACCACAAGAAACTCTGAAAAAGCAGAACATTTAGTGTTGTAGTGCACGTTAGATGAGTGTTTTGGATGTTTAATGAGTGAAAAGTAAACCTTAGTGAAAGACAGCTTGCCTTCCTTGGAAAATGTGGTCTGAGTTTGATATATCAATGAGCTTTTAGGCCAAACTGATTTCTACAAAGTAATGGTGGTTCAAGGTTGACTGGGTACTGTGAATCATTGCTCTGAGTTTTGGACATTTCTAGTTGTAGCTTAAAATGATACTTCTATTTTACATTAGTGCATTATCTTCCCTTAAAACAGCAAACTTTCTGGTTACTATGCTGTCTTTTAACAGGTGGAAGGCCAGCCTATTGAAAGGCTGTCAGAAGTATTTACAGATTAGCTCTTCAGCTAAAAAATGTAAGAATGCTGGGAAGGTGATTTGGTTGATCTAGGTAGATAGAAAATATAGTTTTGATGTGTTAAGAGGGAGACATGCCAAATCTTTTTAGTGTAACCCTGTTTGGTTACTTAATATGAAGTCCCTTTCACAGTTTTCTTGAGTTGTCAATGTAATTCTCAGTCCTTTGTTTATGACAAGTTTGTGATTTCATATCTGCTGGGAAGGGAGTGCATTGCATTCTGGTCATTCTGGTTCTTTTTTTGTTTTTGTTTGTTTGTTTTCTTTTTTTGTTGTTGTTGTTGTTGTTTTATTTAATAAAATTGCCTTCATGTATTTAAAACATAGGAGCTAATGCTTTAAAGAGATTTTGTGATATGAGATGTGGTGACATTGTGGATGCCAAAGGGGAGAATCTTTTAGTCCATCATGCCCTTATTATTTTGGGGATCTTATAAATCTGAAGACTTTGTTTGCTTTGTGGTAATGTAAGTAATCCATAACACTTTGAATAAAGGGAGTACTAATTTTGAGGCTAAAGTTTGTGTCATCTATCTAAATGGGACTACAAACGAGAATCTTGAACACTTTGCATATGAGATTTGAATGGATTTTAGTTGGGCCAGGAGCTGGCTTCTGACTTCTTCGATACCATTTTAAGGCACAGTCATATGCAATGCTTATGTTCTTAAATTTAAAAAGCCTTCAATATGAGGACTCTGTGCATCTTTGAAATGTAGATAATACTTCTTTTTATAAGCAGTGCTTATCAGCACTACAGCCAGCAGAAAAGTCATGAGGGTAAAACAAAATGGAATCTCCCGTTCAGCTGCTTGTTTTGGATTTTTAACAGGGCAGTGTGGCTAGTCATTTGCAGTGGTTTTGTTGTTTGGCTTCAGATTGTGTCAGTGTGTGGTAATATTTATAGCAAGCAAAAGCAGGAAAAACTAATCTCAAGTCCAGAAAAGGTGGCTGGGAAAATAAACACCATGGTGCTACATATATGTGAATTCAGGGTTAGTAACCAAAACTAATGAACATGCTAAAAAAAACCAAAAAGAGGGTTATATTATAAAGTTCACAGTCTTTAAGTAGACAAAATGCAGGAGAAATCAAGCTGAGAGCTAAAACTTTTCACTTGTATCTCATGGCCTAGATACTTAAAATTCAGCATTTTTTCTCTTTGTACATGAATTGTCTGTTATTGATCATAACTTCTCTGGATTTACATGAGATTATGAATTTAAAGAATCAGACTGTTTTTCTTAAGATCTAAAAAAAGATTATTAAAAAATATTAGAGGTGCTTCAAATAGTTTAATACATGCTGTCCATAGGCAGTGCAGCTTGATTAATTAAATCTTAACTTTGAACAAGATCTTATTACCATAGGTTTATGTGAAGCCTTGATAAATGCATTTTTAATGTGTTTTTCTGGTTTCCTAGAAGGTGAAGATTCCTTCTTAATGAAAGTTCTATCAAACAACCCTCTGCTTATTTATTTCCAATAGATTGCCAATAATACATATTGCTTAGGGGTTAAAGGTTTCTGAGAAACAAATTGATTGTTTTTTCTTCACAATAATGATTGATTTGGTAAGTCAGCTACTAAGAGCAGTATGATGGTATTTATCTGTGTCCACTGCATGCATCAATGTTCTGCCAAAAATCTGCATCTTTGTTGCTTTAGTGAAGGGGCCTAGGGAAACATCTTTATTTGCTGCTTTCACATATGCAGGCACGTGATGATAATGTCTGTCCTAATTCTGAAGGAATAAATACAAAAGCAGTACAATGGATACATGACAGCTGTGGATGGCAGAGGACTTAGCTGAAGATACTCCAGAACCATAAGAACTGTGTGTTTCTACAGTAAACCTTTTCTGCTAGAAAGCATCCGTGCTGACGTGAGAGGAGGAATGAAAGTGCAGTTCTGTTTCTAGGGAGTTCTGTTTCTACGGAGATGCTGCTAGGCAGGTGGCATCTCACCTGGTCTGTCGTGTCTCCTGTGGTGATTTCTGTCTAATTAAAAATATGTACTGGGAGAAGTTTCCATCACCCATGAGCCTGTGTAAGTCGCTGTCTGTGGGTAAGCCGTAGGGTTTTGAACATCATTGAGGAAGCTGAAATAAATGTATTAGAAGTATTTTAAACAATATCTAGTCTGCATGAGGTGAACCACACTGGGAGCCTCTATTTTTCCTATCACTTAGCAAAAGGAGGAGATGTCCTTTGATGTTCTCCAATTAAAACCAAAAATTCTGAATGTTTAAGTATTATTTTTTTTAGCCATATACCTTCCCTTTGTGTTTTCCAACCTGTTCTTGGCTGTTTGGTCCATCAGATGTTCTTCCCAAGCCAGCAATTAAGAATTATTGCATCTTTTCTTTCTGATGAGCATTCCATAAATGCTGCTTTCCTTAAGATGACTGCCTTTTCACCCATCCGAGAAAAATGTAATTGTAGGGAGTGAGAGACTTCATTAAAAGTATGTGAGTTTGTCACAGCTGAGCAACACATCTGGAATTTAGGCTGAATCCTTTTACTGGTAGTTTCTTTTTTCAACTAGTTAAACTCTTCTGAACCCTTTTTGTATATCAGAAACATGCTGCTGAATTTAATTTTCAAACTCTGAACTTAAAAGTTGAACACAGATCAGAAAAACAAGAGAACAGCAGAGCCACAGAGGGTACAAAACTTTCCCATTTTGGCAAAGGTCATTTGAGTCACTACCCTACCCTGACTCACTTTTGCTTTATTTTTTCCATTTTGGGGATGCATGTCAGGGTGAGAAATGCCTTTCTGTATTTATGTGGTTAAGGTGTTCATTCAATATCTAGTATTTATTGGTTTGGTGGTTTATATTGATTTGATTAAATATTTTTATTTCTCTGCAAGAATTTTCACTTCTGTACATAAGACAGTAGCTTTCTGATCATTCTTCTTGTGGTATTCATTCTGATTTGAGTTTTTTTTTTTTTTTAATAAACATGCTTTCTAAAACATTGGGTGGACGAGAACTTATGGTTTGGGTAAAAGGAAAGTT